TATCCATTTTGATGGCTTCTAAAATTCTGGCTAAATCCTCATTGACTGACCACTGAAAACACAAAAAATATAAACAGATCCAAAGCACTAGGCTGGTAAAATCAGAAAATCATTGGCTGCGACAGAGATAGGAAATCTACCACTAATTTAAATATTATGTACCTCAAATGCATAAATGCAGAATCCAAAATACTTTAGTTCTCTAACTTCCCGAACACAATTATACTTAGTATAATTAGTGTTCCCGAACACAATAATACTAATTGTGTTCGGGAACACTAATTATACTAAGACAAGAAGTTGACTTTTAAATGGGCTGATTCCTTTCAACATTGCCAATAATTCCTGGAGGACACATCTCCTTAGGTATTCTGGGGTAGAAAAGAGTTTTAGAACTACTGTTAAACATCAAATTGGCAAAGAAATTTGCTATCTGCAATCAGAGGTAAAATATGTATGGTAAACCCTCCTTACCAGGTACTGAGAGTATGGGTACTAACAAAATCTGGTATGATTTTAATCTCTGATACAAATGAGAATTTCTTATTCCTTTAACACAAATAATTTTGTTGGCCAGGCACAGTGGCTCATGCCTGTAATTCCAATACCTTGGGACGCCGAGGCAGGCAGATCACCTGAGGTCAGGACTTCGAGACCAGGCTGGTCAATAGGGTAAAACTCTGTCTCTAATAAAAATACAAAAAATTTGTCGGGCATGGTGGGGGGCACCTGTAATCCCAGAAACTCCAGAGACTGAGGCAGGAGAATCACTCGAACCCAGAGGGGGAGGCTGCAGTGAGCCAAGATTTTGCCACAGTACTCCAGCCTAGACAACAGAGTGAGACTCAGTCTCAAAAATAAACAAATAAATAGCCAAACATATCCCATTCCAGCAAAGAGTAAGAATCATTAAAAGTTACATCACACCAACACACTCCAGCCTGGGTGACACAGTGAGACTCTGTCTCAAAAAAGAGTTACACACTGCAGAAATCTAAAAAGAAGAATCTCAAAAGCAGACTGGGACTTTATTATCAAAGTAAAGGTGAAGTGATGTTTACCAATATAAGAAATATATGCAACCATTTTTTAACTCCTGAAAATATATAACTGTAGTTATTCTGGTAAAATTCCTTTAGCCACTAGATTGAAGCACAATCCCAGGGAATGACATGTTTTCAAGATTTTCTAACAACTGCATCTGTTAAATCTTCTCTTTAAAAATAATCCCAGGCCAAGCCAGGTGTAGTAGCTCATACCTGTAATCCCAGTTACTTGGAAGGCTGAGACCAGAGGATCGCTTCAGCCAAGGAGTTTGAGACCAGCCTGGGTAACACAGTGAGGCTCTGTCTCTTTAAATAAATAAATAAATAAGGCTGAGCGCTGTGGTTCATTCCTGTAATTCCCAGCACTTTGGGAGGCCGAGGCAGGCAGATCACCTGATGTTGAGAGTTCGAGACCAGTCTGACCAACATGGAGAAACCCCATCTCTACTAAAAATACAAAAATCAAAATTAGCTGGGCATGGTGGCATATGCCTATAATCATAGCTCCTCAGGAAGCTGAGGCAGGAGAATCTCTTGAACTTGGGAGGCAGAGGTTTCAGTGAGCCGAGATTGTGCCACTGCACTCCAGCCTGAGCAAAAAGAATAAAACTCTATCAAAAAAAAAAAAAAAAAAAAAAAGATCATCATCCTAGTCCAGCCCAAACAACATAGCAAGACCTCCAACTCTAAAATGAAATATAAAAAATATTAAAGGTCAATTTAATTAGAGGTGTCAAATAATTCCAAAAGATGTGCTCTCACAAATCAAATAGTTGAAAAAGGAACATACTTTTCAGGACAATCACACTATTCTTTTAACTGTAGGAAAATTTATTAAATGAAGACAGCTTTCAGAAGCTGCTGAAACATACTAGTAAGAGACAAAAAACAATGCTCCCACTGTGCTCAGCAGTAGCCAGAAATTTACGGAGATCTTTATATTGAGCCTTAAGTATGAGAGCTAGGAAACTTCAAAATCATCACTTAAGCCACTTTAAACCCACAGTATACAAATTCTTTTTCTTTTGTTACATTTTATACTAAACACACTTTAATCAGATTGACGTAAGTGATTTAAAAGACATAACTTCGCCAGGCGCGGTGGCTCAAGCCTGTAATCCCAGCACTTTGGGAGGCCGAGGCGGGTGTCAAGACATCGAGACCATCCTGGTCAACATGGTGAAACCCCGTCTCTACTAAAAATACAAAAAAAAATTAGCTGGGCATGGTGGCACGTGCCTGTAATCCCAGCTACTCAGGAGGCTGAGGCAGGAGAATTGCCTGAACCCAGGAGGCAGAGGTTGTGGTGAGCTGAGATCACGCCATTGCACTCCAGCCTGGGTAATAAGAGCGAAACTCCGTCCAAAAAAAAAAAACAGACATAACTTCCAGGCTCGGTGGCTCATGCCTGCAATCCCAGCACTTTGAGAGGCCAAGACAGGTGGATCACCTGAGGTCAGGAATTAGAGATGAGCCTGGCCAACCTGGTGAAACCCAGTATCTACTAAAAATACAAAAATTAGGGCCAGGCGCGGTGGCTCACGCCTGTAATCCCAGCACTTTGGGAGGCCGAGGCAGGTGGATCACGAGGTCAAGAGATGGAGACCATCCTGGTCAACATGGTGAAACCCCGTCTCTACTAAAAATACAAAAAATTAGCTGGGCATGGTTGCGCGTGCCTGTAGTCCCGGCTGAGGCAGGAGAATTGCCTGAACCCAGGAGGCGGAGGTTGTGGTGAGCCAAGATCATGCCATTGCACTCCAGCCTGGGTAACAAGAGCGAAACTCCATCTCAAAAAAAAAAAATTACAAAAATTAGGTGGGCATGGTGGTGGGCACCTGTAATCCCAGCTACTCGAGAGGCTGAGGCAGAAGAATCAACTGAACGTGGGAGGCAGAGGTTGCAGTGAGCCAATATTGCACCATTTCACTCCAGCCTGGACGAAAAGAGTGAGAGGCTGCCTCAAAAATAAAAATAAATAAATAAAGTAACTTTTGTTATTTCCTTTTACAAGAAAAAAAAAACAATGTTTCTAGATATTAAGTTCCTTAAGAGATAGCAATCATTTGTTTGAGTAGATTTACAGTACTACAATTTCAAATTGTATCAGAATGTTTGTTTTTTGAGACAGTGGCACAATCACAGTTCACAGTAGCCTCATCCTCCTGAGCTCAAGCAATCCTCCCACCTCAGCCTCCTCCCAAGTAGCTGGAACTACAAACTCATGCCACCATGTCCGGCAATACACACACACACACACACACACACACACACATATATGTGTATACACATACATGTACATATCTACGTGTGTATGTGTACATATACATATATATATATATATGTATATATACATTTTTTTTTATTTTATTGAGACAGAGTCTTGCTCTATTGCCCAGGCTAGAGTGCACTGGCGTGATCTCAGCTCACTACAACCTCTGCCTCCTGGGCCCAAGCAATTCTCCTGCCTCAGCCTCCTGAATAGCTGGGATTGCAGACACAAACCATCATGCTCAACTAATTTTTGTGTTTTTAGTAGAGATCAGGTTTCACCATATCAGCCAGGCTGGTCTCAAACTCCCGACCTCAGGTGATCCACCTGCCTCAGCCTCCCAAAGTGCTGGGATTAACGGAGTAAGCCACCATTCCCAGCCAATTTTTGTATTTTTTGTGGAGACAGGGTCTTACTATGCTACCCAGGCTGGTCTCAAACTCCTGGGCTCAACTGATCCACCCGCTTCCCTGCCGTGGCCTCCCACAGTGCCACCATGCCTGGCCCAAAATCTTATAATTGCTTAATACTGTATATACATTTATAATAATATGACATTTCCCAACTTTGTTTAGAAGATGTGTGTGGTTCTTCTCCACTCCCCAGGCACTTAAAACTATTACACTGGGAGAGTACAAGCTTTCCATGGCCCTGGAATCCTCCCTCCTCCCATTAAAAAAAAAATTAAAATTGGCTGGGCATGGTGGCTCCCAACACTTTGGGAGGCCAAGGCAGGGGAATCATAAGGTCCGTAGTTCAAGACCAGCCTGGTAGATGGTGAAGACCATCTCTACTAAAAATACAAAATTTAGCAGGGCTTGGTAGCAGGAATCTGTAATCCCAGCTACTCGGGAGGCTGAGGCAGGAGAATCACTTGAATCCGGGAGGCAGAGGCTGCAGAGAGGGAGATCATGCCTTCGCACTCCAGCCTGGATAACAAGAGCAAAACTCTGTCTTAGAAAAAAAATTCAAACAACACATAGCACTCATATATATCTTTTAATATCAGGTTGAAATGCTAAAGGTAATAAAGGTAACTGTTTTTAATTAATAAATTTAAATAACAGGGAAAACTTTGAATTCAAAGAGGTTCAGTAAAAACATAAAAGAAGGCCGGGCGCGGTGGCTCAAGCCTGTAATCCCAGCACTTTGGGAGGCCGAGGCAGGTGGATCACGAGGTCAAGAGATCGAGACCATCCTGGTCAACATGGTGAAACCCCGTCTCTACTAAAAACACAAAAAATTAGCTGGGCATGGTGGTGTGTGCCTGTAATCCCAGCTACTCAGGAGGCTGAGGCAGGAAAATTGCCTGAAACCAGGAGGCGGAGGTTACGGTGAGCCGAGATGGCGCCATTGCACTCCAGCCTGGGTAACGTGAGTGAAACTCCGTCTCAAAAAAAAAAAAAAACATAAAAGAAAATGTTAGCAATGTTATCAAAGGCGGAGTAAAAACTAATATATGTCTCTACGTAATCCAAGACATGTTTATTAGTGGAGCTTTTTCTCTAGGCTATTAAGATGCCACCCAAAAACAAAGATCTAGTAAATATTAAGTTTAACAACTTCTTAAAAACCTGTAGGTTTCCAAAGATATGTACATGTATGTGCAGTGAGGCCACTAGTAAGCCTCTAATAATTTTCTTGTAGACTACTGAAGTTCTCTATGATGATAAAAAGGGTTTAAAAAAAAAAAAAACTAGCATCTCCCCTTTATAATCAAAGAAACAGCGTAACTCAGGAAGTTCCATAACAAAGACCATCTATAATTCTGATGCCAGAAACCCCTCTGAAAAAAGTTTTAAATGATAAACACAAAAAGTCTATAAAAGGTTTTTCAATAAATACAAGGTCCTACACATATTATATAAATACCAACATAATAATATGAATATGAATATCAACGTTAACCTCCAGATTTCTTTTTTTCTTTTTCAAGATGGGGTTTCACCATGATGGCCAGGCTGGTCTTGATCTCCTGACCTCAGGTGATCCACCCACCTTGGCCTCCCAAAGTGCTAGGATTATAGGCATGAGCCACCGTGCCCGGCAACCTCCAGATTTCTAACAGGAATCCAATTCCTTTTTTTGGAAGGATCACAATATTAATATGAAAGAAGTATATTTAGAAATCTGTTGATTCTGGGCTGGGTGCAGTGGATCACGCCTGTAATCCCAGCACTTTGGGAGGCCAAGGTGGGCAGATTTTGAGGTCAGGAGTTTGAGACCAGCCTGGCCAACACAGTAAAACCCTGTCTCAGTATGCAAAAAACAGCTCAGCATGGTGGTGGGCGCCTGTAATTCCAGCTCCTTGGGTGGCTGAGGCAGAATCCAGGAGGCAGAGGTTGCAGTGAGCCAAGGTCGAGCCATTACACTCCAGCCTGGGCGACAGGGTGAGACTCCACCTCAAAAAAAAAAAAAAAAAAGAAGCCGGGCGCGGAAGATCAAACATAAGAAAGGAAAGAAATCTATTGATTCTGGGCAGGTGTGGTGGCTTACACCTATAGTCCCAGCACTTTGGGAGGCCAAGGCGGGTGGATCACCTGAGGTCAGAAGTTCAAGACCAGCTTGACCAACAGGGTGAAACCTTGTTTCTACTAAAAATACAAAAACTAGCCAGGCAAGGTGGCTAATCCCAGCTACTAAAGAGGCTGAGGCAGGAGAATGGCTTGAACCCGGGTGGCAGAGTTTGCAGTGAGCCAAGATCGCTCCACTGTACTGCAGCCTGGGTGACAGAATGAGACTTTGTCTCAAAAAATAAAATAATCTGTTGATTCTGGAAGATTTGGGTTTAATTCCCCAATCAGCAGGCATGCAACTGGCAAGAAGGATGCCAAAAGGCTAAACCTAGTGCTTAAAGTTTTAGTGATTACATTGCTTAAATAATGAACAGATACAATAGACTCAAGATAAGTCAATGTGTAAAAGGACTTTAAATATGCGCCCAGGTATTTTTTAAGATGGACAAAACATTTGAATCTTAAATTACGATATTCTTTCTTCTATAAAAAGATCTGGCCACTGCAGTCCATTAGAATACTGTTCTTTTGAGCCTGCTCAGTTTGTTTAAGCTCTGCCTCAAGCAAACAGGGCTGCCATTAGAAGAAGGGTTCCCCTCAAAACGCATCCTACAAGAACAGTGTTGTAAACTCTGGAGGTAACCGTAAATATAAAAACACAAACTTGCAGGATCTCATTTTCATGTATTTACTTGAGGAGAGATACTCAAATATGGAGTGTATGCTATTTATTGATGCACTTAATAGGAAAGAAGGGGACAGCAAAAGTAATAATTTTACCAGACCCATGCACATATGCAGGTTTTATTTTACTGGAGATGACACACATAAAAAATCCAGATAGTGGTAAGTACTACAAAAAAAACATGGGCAGAAATGGGTGTGATAACGGAAAAGTCACTGCATATATGTACCGTGACTGGGGTCATGGTTATACAGGTGTATACATTTGTCATAATTTACTGAATTTAAGACCTATATATACATAAATTTTATTTCAAAGAAGCATCACAATAGAATTCCAAAGATAATTCAATTTAGAAAGGAAAAGTACACTCGTTTAACTAATACAATATGGAGGATAATTAACATTATAAAACCAAATGTCTCTGCATGAGTGAACTCCACAAGAATTTAGTAAGTCATACCCTACATTAAAAAAACAAAAACACAGAATAAGGAAGCATTTCCTATACATATGAAACCACAAAATTTCTATACTCTTTACTGTTAGAGTATAGAAGAAGTATGTTTTATTTTATAGTTCCAAAAATAAAATAGTCTCCGAAAAACTTCAATATAGTCAAAGACAGGTAACTAAAATGATGACAATGTGAAAAGATAAACAAGCTCCTGTCAATCCGTTAAGGATAGTCCAATGAAAGGAACCTCACGGGTTTATTTTAAGTGGATAAGAAAAGTATGCAAGTGTCAGGTTAACAAAGGCAGAAAATCCTAAAGAGTTATGGCAATTACATGTTCCCAAAAGACACACCAAGGACCACACTCCATTTTATATGATACTTACATGACATTTCATACATGTGTCTAACATGAATTGAAGACTGAGCAGATTAAAAAGTATCACTTTAGTGATCATCCTCAATCAATACCAGATAACAAACGAGGGGCTTTTGCTGTTGGAAATTCTCACATATTGAGCTGAATATTTTTACCTTGATTTAAACTAATTATAATACTCAGGTCCTTAACAGTCTCTTCTCTACAATGCTCCAATTACCTGTCGTCCATTGTGATCTTTTGCATGCACGCATGTACTCTCTAACACACAATAGCGCTCTCTCTCTCTTATTCAAGAAGCAACTAGATTTAATCTTCCTAAATTATGCCACTTTCCTGAAGGTAAAATTACAATGGTTCCTTAAAGTCACTCCAAATACATTTAAACTGGGCCAGGCGCAGTGGCTCACACCTGTAATCCCAGCACTTTGGAAGGCTGAAGGGGGTGGATCACCTGAGGTCATGAGTTTGAGACAAGCCTGATCAACATGGTGAAACCCCCGTCTCTAGTAAATACAAAAAAGTAGTCAGATGTGGTGGTGGGCACCTGTAATCCCAGCTACTTGGAAGGCTGAGGCAGGAGAATCGCTTGAACCCAGGAGGCGGAGGTTGCAGGGAGCTGAGATTGTACCATGGCACTCCCACTGCCTGGGCAACAAGAGTGAAACTCCATCTCAAAAAAATATGATACAATATAATATAATATAATAACACTTAAACTATGATGCAAGGCCTACAAAAAGGTTCCCAACCCAGTGCTTCAGCTCATCTCTTATGTGTAATATTTCTGATAAGTACCCAAATTCCACTACACACCAACAACTTGCATCTGGACTTATCCTAATTTTCTATTTTGAGGGGACATTCTCCCCTAAATTCACAAATTGTACAGACCAATTCCATCACCCCACTGCCCCATACTCAACTGTGTAGCTTTCTCTCCTCTGACTCTGCACGTTTTCTTTCTCTTTTTTTTGAGATGGAGTCTCACTCCACAGCCCAGACTGGAGGGCAATGGTGTGATCTCAGCTCACTGCAACCTCCTGGGTTCAAGTGATTCTCCTGCCTCAGCCTCCCAGGTAGCTGGGATTACAGGCGCCCACCACCATGTCCGCCTAATTTTTGTATTTTTAGTAGAGACAGGGTTTCGCCATGTTGGCCAGGCTGGTTTCAAACTCCTGAAATCAGGTAATCTGTCTGCCTTGGCCTCCCAAAGTGCTGGGATTACAGGCATGAGCCACCGCACCTGGCCGACTCTCCAGGTTTTCATACAAAATAAGGCCAGGTGTGGTGACTCATGCCTGTAATCGCAGCATTTTGGCAGAGCATGCCAGGCAGATCACCTGAGGTCAGGAGTTCAAGACCAGCCTGTCCAACTTGGCAAAACCCCATCTCTACTATAAATACAAAATTAGCCGGGTGTGGTGGCAGGTGCCTGTAATTCCAGCTACTCAGGAGGCTTAGCCAGGAGAATCTGTTGAACCTAGAACGGCAGGTTGCAGTGAGCCACGATCAAGCCCTTGCACTCCATAGAGTGCATATACATTGGCCATAAAACGAGACTCCATCTCAAAAAAATAAGAAAGGTATACTAAGAATTATATCACAAAATCCACATGCTCTTCCCCTTTACAAAGTCCTTTACTTATCTCCCATAATAACTTATAGCCTCCTAGAAGACAGTGATTGTACAAGTCATAAAAATCCTGGCTCTGGCTGGGTACACTGGCTTATGCCTGTAATCCCAGCACTCTGGGAGGCCAAGGCAGGCAAAGGCAGGCAGGCCACTTGAGGTCAGAAGTTCGAGACCAGCTACTCAACATGGTGAAGCCCCATCGCTACTAAAAATACAAAAATTAGCCAGGCATGGTGCCGCATGCCTATAAGCCCAGCTACTCAGCAGGCTGACATAGGAGAATTGCTTGAACCCAGGAAGAAGAGGTCGCAGTAAGCCAAGACCGCACAAGTGTACTTCAGCCTGGGCAACAGAGTGAGACGCCATCTCAAATATATGTATATATATACACGTGCGTGTGTGTGTGTGTGTGTGTGTGTGTGTGTGTGTGTATCCCTAGAAGCATCAATGTTTACTGAATTAGAGTATTTCATTATCTGTTTAAAAAAAAAACCTTCAGTTATACTAATTTATATAGGAATCAAAACAAAAGATGAGGGGCAGTGCAGCATCTCACACCTGTAAATCCTAGCACTTTGGGAGGCGGAGGTGGGAGGATCGCTTGAGGTCAGGAGTTCTGAGACCAGCCTGGCCAACATGGCAAAAACCGTGTCTCTACTAATAATACAAAAATTAGCCAGGCCTGGTGACATACGCCTGTATTGTAGTCCCAGCTACTCGGGAGGCTGAGGCACATGAATGAATCGCTTGAACCCAAAAGGTGGAGGTTGTAGTGAGCCAAGATGGTGCCTGCACTCCAGCTGGGAGACAGAGTAAAATTTGTCTAAAAATGAAAATTTGGCCAGGCGTGGTGGCTCAAGCCTGTAATCCCAGCACTTTGGGAGGCCAAGGTGGGTGGATCACGAGGTCAAGAGATCGAGACCATCCATGGTCAACATGGTGAAACCCTGTCTCTACTAAAAATACAAAAAATTAGCTGGGCATGGTGGCGTGTGCCTGTAATCCCAGCGACTCATGACGTTGAGGCAGGAGAATTGCCTAAACCCAGGAGGCAGAGGTTGCAGTGAGCCGAGATCGAGCCATTGCACTCCAGCCTGGGTAACAAGAGTAAAACTCCGTCTCAAAATAAATAAATAAATAAATAAAAATAAAAATAAAAATTTAGCAGGGCGCGGTGGCTCAAGCCTGTAATCCCAGCACTTTGGGAGGCCGAGGCGGGTGGATCACAAGGTCAAGAGATCAAGACCATCCTGGTCAACATGGTGAAACCCCGTCTCTACTAAAAATACAAAAAAATAGCTGGGCATGGTGGTGCGTGCCTGTAATCCCAGCTACTCAGGAGGCTGAGGCAGGAGAATTGCCTGAACCCAGGAGGCGGAGGTTGCGGTGAGCCGAGATCGTGCCATTGCACTCCAGCCTGGGTAACATGAGTGAAACTCCATCTCAAAAATAAATAAATAAATAAAAATAAAAATTTAAAAAGCCAGGCATAGTGGCGCACGCCTGTAATCCCAACACTTTGGGAAGCCG